TCAAAATCATGAAATTAACATCACTTGCAGTACTATTATATAATTTATAGACTTGATTCATATTTCACAAGTTGTTTCGATAAATACCTTTTATAGCAAAGGAAAAAATAGCCACAGCATAAAGCATAGAATTTACTTGCCACATGTCTTTCTTTAGTCCTCTTTAATCTAGAGTCACTCCTCAGTGAGGATGCCTTTTATGACCTTGCAGTTTGAAATGTCCAGGCCAGTTCTCTGAGAATGTCCCTCAATTTGTTGCCGTTGTTTTTTAAAAACAATTATCTATTTAATTATTCATTTATTTATTTTAATTTGACCAGAGAAAGAAACAGAGAGAGAGAGAGAGAGAGAGAGAGAGAGAGCAAGCCACCAGGTCCAGGATTCGAACCGTGGTTAGCCATGTGGGAGTGTCCAGTGCCTTAACCACCATGCCACCTGTTAGCCCCTCCTCGATTTGGTTTTACCTGCTGTTTTATCCAGTGTTTCCCCTGGTCATATTCAGGTTGGGCATCTTAGCAGGAACACCAGGAGAGTTTCTGGGTTCTTCTCAGTTTCTTGGTGGCAGGCACCAAGACTCACTGTCCTATCACTAGGATGTTTACAGTTCTTCGTTGGTCAGCTGCTACTTGGCAGGTGTTTCCACTCTGAAGGCACCCCACACCTTTGTAATTAGTATCTTGTGACGAGATTGTAATTTTTAAAATGTTCTGTTTCTCATAACACTTTAGCCTACTAGTTACAGCAAACATTTTCAGGATTCTTGTCTGAAACATTTATTGCTGTGGCAGCTGCCAAATGGAGATTTGTCTCCTCTTGTTTTTCCTGCTATGTTTATAAGTTAGATTCTACACCAATGGTTTTTAAAATGACATTCCAGAAAGAGTCCATCTGTAAAATAGAAAATATCTGCGCTAATCTAAATCCATAGAAATAAAAACCTCCTGTCTCCCACTTCTTAATCCCAGCGCCCAGGTATTCAGCTAAGTGGCTTTCCTATCCATATTTAGTACAGTGGAAATGTGTAGAGCTGTTAGGAGCTATTCCTAAGGCTACTTTCTATTTGAGGGGAAAGACTTCTATCACTCTGTGAGATCTTTCTTTCCTTCTTTAACCCCATTTTTTACCCCCTGAAATCTTGTTCTCATTCTTCTTCCCTGGCCCTCTCCTCCCCACATACACCTTGAAATCTGCTATTAAAGCCAGAGAGACTAGAGCTCTCTTTTAAACAATGAAGACTCTACTCACCTTCAAACTTGTTTCCTTCCACCAACAAGTTAACAGTCTCCAGGCACCCTCGTTCCATTTACTTTTAGCTCAGCCCTTTTAGTAACCGGCCCTCTAGTCTTAAAGTCCAGATAGGCAGGACATGTCTAATTAGATTTCCTCTCTCCCTCTCCAGTGTAACATAAGTTCATTGGCTATTCACAATTTCTCACTCATTAAATGCCTTTTGAAAAGGAGGACCAATAGCAGATTTCTCTTCTACCAGGCTCTTCCCCAATTCCTTCCCTTGGAAGATTTCCAACCTTCATCATCTCAGTCATGCCCATCCATGAGCATCATCTCTCCCCTGGAACGTTAACGTTCCATACTGTCAACATCAGAAGATCCTCAGATGATTCCTGTAACTTCTCATATAAATATCAGGGAAGCTAATTTTCACTTCTATGAAAGGACCAATGAAGAAGATTGAACAAGTTCAAGAAAATCGTTCTTCCTGGTTAATAGACTGAGTGATATTTATTATCAGTAAAATGGATCTCTTTTGCTTTATAATAGTATACCACTTTCAAGCAGAATAGGAACATGTAGGACCCATCCTCTGAACCCAAATCCTTGGCGTAGTCACAGGGAAATGCATTTATGACTAATCTTTTGTCATAAATCTAAAGCTGGGCATAGAAATGGCAGAAAAGCTAAATAAAATAGACTTTATTCCTCAGGAACTGCTGAAGAATTGAGCACTAATTAGTACTAGAAATTACTATCTTTGGAGAAACTCCAGTTTCTCCTGAAAATCCTCAAATGGTAATATTTTCTTGCCTCTTCCTTGAATGGGTAAGGAATGAAAAATCTTCACTAATAGTTTTTGCCCACTCTGGGACAGAGTAGAAATTCACTAGGCTAGAAGACTTTCTAGAACTCTGATTCTAAATACACTTGCTCTACTAGAATTGAGCTGGAGCAATGGAGGGGCTTCAGAAAGTTTATGGAAAAATGGGATTAAAGTATGAGTTTATTTTGCTGCACCAATACTTTTAAATGCAATCATAGTTTTTTCTTAATATATATTTTCCACAAACTTTTTGAAGACCCCTTGTACATATTCAGAGACCCAAATTTTTGTTAATGAACAGAATATTCCCAAATATTGATTGATGAAGTAGATGGAACAGCTCTGTAAATTATATGATAAATTATCCTAGAGAGTTTTGAGATGGTTGCTAGAATACCTTAATAAAACCCACCTGTAGGCTCAGAGTATTAAAACAGGTAGCAGGTTGGCATGGTAGTTGTGCTGGACTCCCACATAGCTAACCATGGTTCAAGTCCCAGACCTGGTGGCTTGCCTTCTGTCTTTTCCTCTCTCTCTGATCAAAATAAATAATAAATAAATAAATAAATAAATAAACAGTTCTTTAAAAAATGAAAAAGAATAGCCTAGCAGTCCAAAAAAATGTGACCCATAGGAATTAAGGAGGATATTTTATCTGTAGCTTTCCCTTTAATGGTACAGTTTTGTAACTTTGAATCATTGTTGTTTGGGGAAAGGACTACCTTCATGATTTTTGGATAACAAATGCTGGTTAAAATCCATCCTCATCAACTCATTTAGAAAGGATATTGACAGGCAACAGGCATGAGGATTTTAGATTAAATCTAATAATAAACAAAAAAACCTTATATATACTTTCAGATAATAAACGAAGAAGTGATTTTTTTTTTAGAGAGATTTTTGCTATAGGGTGTATGCACTCACCAGAGAGACAGAGAAACAGAGTGACAGAAAGTGAGAAACCACCCCCAAGAGATGGCCATGCTGCAATCCCTTCTCCTCCATTCTCCTCTCAGGATTTTGGGCACACACACACACACACATGTGCCTAGTGTGAGTTTTAAGTCATCAGGTCTAAGATTTGAACTGCGGTGGAGTACATGGGAGTCCAGTAATATAACCATCACACCATCTGCTGGTCTCCTGAAGAAGTGATTTTAAAAAATAGTACCAGTATTTTGCCACTGCAACAATAATATCAATGACTCTGTAAAATTATTAGGTGACAGGTTGACAGTGAACCTTAAAATAGATAGACCAGCCTGTCAACACTTAAATCCATTTATCAATCTTAACATATCCAAAAGAGATGTAACCAAATATTTTGCTCCATGATGAGATACAAAAGGAAATACATAAAACAACTTGTAAAATGTTCTTGTCTATAAGTTGAACCTGATTCTAATTATGCCCTAGATTTAAGTATCAGGATACAAGAAATACAGGGAAGAGAGGAACATGGTAAACAATACCAGAAGAATGCAGTCTCATATTCCAAATGTAGGAAACCTATAAGTCAAACAACCCAATTTCTTTGACAAAGAAACAAGGAAAAAAATATTAGAAAAAAAGGACCCCACAGATGAAAAGACTTCTATGAGAAGTATCAAACAAATGTAATATCTTAAGACCCTGACTTGAAACAACTATGCAAGGGAAAAAAAAAAGACATGAACTAGATCATCAGAGAAATTTGACCATTGATTGGATAGTGATAGTATTAAGTAACTATTTTATTATTTAACTGTGATAATGGTATTGTGGTTAAGTTTGGGAAAGGGGGCTTTTTTGAGAGTTTTGTTTGTTTCTTTGTTTTTCCTATAGGGCACATGCAATTGCCAGAGAAACAGAGACAGAAAGTAAGAGATCACACCCATCCCCCAAGGGGATGGCCATGCCACAATCTCTTCTCTTCCATCCTCCTCACAGGATCTTGGGTATGCATGCAAACGCACGTGGTGTGAGTTTTAAGTCACCAGGTCTAGAACTCGAACCACGGTTGACTACATGGGAGTCCAGCAACATGACTATTATGCCATCTGCTGGTCCCTGTGGTTAAGTTTTTTGTTTTTTTTTTTAAGAATTATTTATTTAATTTTATTTGTTCATTCATTCATTTTAATTTGACCACACACACAGACACACACACACACACACTCAGAGAGAGAGAGAGAGAGAGAGAGAGCAAGCAAGCCACCAGGTCCAGGACTTGAGTTGTGGTCAGCCATGTGGGAGTGTCCAATACCTTAACCATCACACCACCTACTGGGTTAAGTTTTTAAAAGTCACCATTTGCCAATATTTACTAAAGCATTTACAGAAAAAAATGATATATCTGTGATTTGATTCAAAATAATCAGTTGAGCAGAAAAACGGGCAAGAGTATATATAAAACAAGACTGGGTATGAGTTGATAATTGTTGAAGCTGTCTGATAGGTAAGTGGAGGTTTATTATAAACTTTCTATCATACAAAAACCTTAAGTATTAGTCATCTCAAAATCAATGTTTTTTCTTTCTCTGAGGAATAAATGATTTCTGTAATAGAATTCCTAGGTTTGAAAATAAGTCTTCATTAAAAAAATATTTGTTTATTTCTTTTGAGAGAGAAACAGGTATTCCCAACGGGATCTTTATGCCAAGATCCCTCCCCAGCTTCAGCCAGCCTGGATCACAGGCATGTACTTATGAAGAAGTGTGTAAGGTGGTCTTGGGTTGTGAAGCCAGGACCCTGCAACATAGGTCCAGCATTGCAGAGCAATATGTCACTGTCGTGCCCACCATCTGGCCTGTTCCATATTCTTAATGTTCCTGCATGTGGACATGTGCAATAACTTGAACATGAGTAAACTCTGAAAAGACATGCATCTCCTCCAGTTAGGGTATATATTAGTCCTTAAATCATCCTGGAAGCTAGAGGCTAATTTTTCTTACTTTCTGGCCAGGTCAGTGAAGGGCTGATATTATACCAGCACGTGGACTGTGAGAATACAGGCTGGACTGCAGAAGATACTTTCACATTCACGATGTCCTCCCCACCCGCTGCTCTAGGCCCCAAAGAGTTCCATATTACCATTTCATATGAAATTGATGAGCCCGGTCGGCAGACCCGTCTGCTCGCAAATACAGGTAATGCCACGAAAATCTGGTCAGTGCCTTGTTTATAATTACTAAAGTAGGAAAAACATGGAAGTAAATTTTTTTATTTTTTAATTGTCAACCCCATGATGTCAACCTTTAAAATAAAACTGAAATAGTTATAAAAAGCTGTTATTTTTGCCCTCTTTCTCCGAGCTTTTATTTCTTCTCCTGTGGCAACTTAGCTTTAAAAAACTTAAAGGATGGCAACTTAGCTTTGAAGAACTTTATTTGTCCTTTCAAATAGGGACTTCACCAGGCTTTTATGAAAAACTGCTAACAGAAAATGAGAATGACAAGTGGGATGAGTTCTTGACAAGAAAGGGGTATTGAAAGCTGCACCTGCTTCCATGGCAAGGGGAAGTCCACTAGTAGATAAATTAGGAAATTCACATTTTATAAGTGAATCTAAGGGTTTTAAAGCTCATTTGCATGAAATTGTGTATGTATTTTTATTAAAAAAATTTTTTTTCATATGCCTTAGGTGATCTAATCCAGGTACTTGAGCAACTGAAGTGTTTTGAATAATACACTAGGACAGGCAGATTTTACAGCTATCCCTCGAAAGCGCTAATGAAATGCTGCTTTGTTCTTTATGTTTTAATAGGAGCTGCTGTCAAGGAGGGTCACAAAGTTCTCATTGACCAATCTAAGCTAGATGCTTCTAACCTCTTATTTAAATTGCCCAAATCGCAGCGCTCTTCCTATGAAATCTGGTTCCAGATTACATCACTTCCTCACCATGGAACGGTTATGGTTGGAGAAAGAAATATTACTAAAAGAAAACCCAATTTTTCCCAGCATATAATTAATAAATTTGGAATCACCTACCTTCACGATGACTCTGAATCACTGTCAGATCACTTTACTTTTGCTGTTTGGCCAAACCGAAAGAGCAAGTCTGCCGCCAAGCCAGAGGCTGACTTTCTTGAAGAGATGTTTAACATTACCATCTCTCCTGTTAATGACCAGCCGCCAGAATTAAGGACAAAAGGACTTCGGTTGAAAGTTCTGCAGGGCAGTAGGTTGGTTGTGGGATCTGAAAACCTGAAAGTGGATGATCTAGACAGCCCTCCAGATGAGATCAGATATATGATCATTCGTAATCCTAATAATGGCTTTTTGGCAATGGCACACCATCCAGACACACCTGTTCACTGTTTTACACAAGCTGACATTGACAACTCTCAGGTGTGGTTTGTACAAGATGGAAGCCCATCCTCTGGAGTATTCTACTTTAGTGTGACCGATGGTGGCCACCGGCCACTCTACAAGCTCTTCCACCTGGATGTTATTGCCATCTCTATCACTCTGGTGAACCTCACTGAACTACTTCTCCCTCAAGGCCAGACAACTGTCCCTATCACCAATGCTCACCTGTCAGCAATGACTAACGGACGGAGTTCCCAAATCACTTACAGGATAACATGGCCTCTCCAACATGGGCATCTGCTGATTGAAAACCAGGTGGTCAGCAGCTTTGGACAGGAGGATTTGGATTCAGGAAGACTCTCTTACCACATGACAAATCTCACTGCCTCAGAGGATCAGCTACAGTTCTCACTGTTTACACCAGAAAGCAACCTGACAGGACAAACGCTGAGCATCAGAGTGCAGCCCTTACTGCGGGTTATGTCAAATCTGAAAATTGCCAACAAAGTGGCTCATCATCTGAGAAGACAAGACCTTGATGCTTCTGAGCTTGCTAATAGGACCAGCAGTGACCCCAAATTTGAAGTGACAGAACCCCCTGTCCATGGAAGACTTGTAAGAATACTTCGTAGCACTCTGATGGAAGATACTACTGTATTCACTCAGAGGGACATTGACCAAGGGCTACTGGTGCTTGAGCCACATGCTAATCTAACAGACACTGACATGCTCAATGACTCCTTCACCTTCTTACTCAGGGCAGACCATGTACAACCAGCACTAGGTTATTTCCCCTTCACCATAGTACCACCTGATGCCTTATTTTTGCAAACTTTCATGCCAGATATTCCTTTATTAATCACTGGAGATAACCTTGTGACCTCAGTTCCCACTCAGGAAAAGCCTGTGGTCTTCTCAGGACCCATGGTACAGACAGAGACTCTGGGGAAGCTGACCCAGATCAGATGGCAGGAAGCAGATCCCTGGAGACAACACAGTAGTGAAGAGTCTAGTGTGGATGCTATGATCTCGTCCACTCAGGTTATTTGGTCACCAGCCACCACCAACGTCAGTCCTGGGTCACCTACTGAGCCTGGAGAGACCATGTACCCTCTGATGGTCATCATACCATTGGCTGTAGTGTTTGTTCTGCTCATAGTGACTGCAGTGGCCATGTATGTCTGGCTCTTGGGCCGAAAGGTAGAAAAGGCAAAACCCCTTATCAAGCCCCAGGCCAACCTGGAGCCCACAACCCCATGTTGTAGGCCAGAAAGGAGCATATCTGTTCCCACTGTCACAGTGACTCCCCTTATAAAAAGCCCCAGAAGTCCCTCAATAAGTCTGTCCAGGGCCTCTCAGTGTGAACAAATGGCCTCTCCAGTGACTGAGCAAATGGAAAAATGTACTCCTTGGAAGACATGGGTGAACTTGGATCCTGACATGGCCAGGCTCTGCCGACAAACCAACCCAGCACTAAAGCATAACCAGTATTGGGTATAGACTGAAGGCTCTTATTTCTTGTTGACCATGTGCTGTGTTCCAGGAACTGGAATAGACAAGGAACTATAAAAGCAAAGAAAAAAAAATTTTTTTGAGAGGTTTTGGCTATAGGGCATGTGCTCTTGCCAGAAAAACAGAGAGAGAGACAGAAAGCCAGAAATCACCCTCCAGGGGGGATGGCCACGCTACAATCCCTTCTCCTTCATTCTCCTCTTGGAGAGGAGAGTTTAAGCCACTGGGTTCAGGACTTGAACCACTATAGACTGTATGGGAGTCCAGCGACGTAGCCATTACACCATATACTGGTCCCAAGGCAAAGAAATTTTGGTCGAATCAACTCAGGAGAGCCTGGGCTTGCTAATCACTCAATACTCAGTAACAACACCATGGTTAGATGTTGGTGGGTGTTTATTGTAACTTCTTTACGACACTCACAGGCTTTCCACAATGGGCTTTATGTATTCTCTTCTAAACCGAACTTTCTCAGAATACTTAAGTTTTTGACAGTATTTAAACCCTTTACCAAGGTGCTACAAAATTTGTTGCTCTCCTTGAAAAAGGAGTATTAACTTGAGATATAGAGCTAAAGGAAGAAGTCTTTGAATATTGTCATTGAAGATTCACATCTCTGAGTCACAGGAAGTACAAGAATTATTTCAACACATGGAAGCGGTAATTTATCCAACTAATGAGTTTGTTTATGTATTGTTTTTCTTTTCCTCCTTGGAGTCTCTAGGTTCAATTTCTTCAGGCAAAACATGCTTTGATGCTCTAGATAATGGGATAGTCTAGCCTCCTTTGAAGGTTTTCACTCATTTTATTGTTTCATCAGGAGACTTTCTATTCTGATTTGTAAAATTAAGCCTAGAGGAGAAACATTATCTGAAGCCCTAAGAAACAGAAAAAGTTTCAAATGGTTTGTGAGGTCTCCATTTGACTTAACTTTGCAATGAATTGAAATACTGCCAATTGATATTTGAATTGTCTAATTGTGCCCACCATTGGCCAACTCAAGCTTCAGTTTCTTTGATCAAAAAACAAAGATTTTATTACTTGTATTAAGAATTGCTATGGTCATTCTCCAAAGGTTCATGTTCTGAAAGCTGGGTCTCTAGTGTAATGATATAATGAGGTGGTGAGACCTCTAAGAGCCGAGATAGAATGGACAGTGTTTGGATTACGGAGGCATCACCTTCATGAATAGATTAATGCCATCTGTGAGAGGGAGTGAGTTCTCACTCTCATTTGAAGGGGTTAGTTTCCACAAGAGCAGGTTCCTATAAAACCTACCTGCAGGTCTCTCTCTACACATATCTACTGTTTCTGCTTTTCTCTGCCATGTTGTGATGCAGTAGAGATTGTCCAAATGCTAGCCCTTTGCTATTGGACTTCCCAGTCATCAGAATCATGAACAAAATAAACCACTATTCTTTATAAATCAACTAATCTCAGGTATTTCTGTTTAGCATCACAACAAAAGTCCAAGACTTGGGCTAAAAATAACTAATCATCCACTAATCATCTGGTAGTTCAGGTTGGGATTGATAAGGTTTTTCTGAAGAGTTACATAGTAAATATTTCAGCCTTTGTGGACCACACATGGCTTTTGTCATGCATTCTTCTTAATTTTAAAAATATAACTTTTTAAAAATGTAAAAATAATTCCTAGTTTTTGGATTTGGTCCACAGATCATAGTTTGATAGTCATTGGTTTAAGCAATATCAATCATTGAATTATCTCAATTAATGAACATTCTGGAGATGGACATCCCAAGGCCTGGTTCAGCACGTCAAGAATGTCATCAAGGATTGAAGCTCTTTTGTTCTTTCTGATCTACTTTCCTACAAACATTTAATTCTTTTATTTAATCCCTTGTGATTACAAAATGGCTTCTGAAGCTTCACAATGCAACTGCATTTAAAGGCAGAAATCACAGTGAAAGAGATGGCAAAATGTCTTTTTCCATGAGAGTCTCTTGTTTATTTATCATTATTTTTAAAATTGTGTAAGGGGAATTTATCCCCAAATATTCTTTCCCCCTCTTATGTTTCATTGCCTAAAATTGGCAAATGGAATTCTTGTGCCTGCTGAGTCTACCAACTCAGAGATCAATAAATAAATCAGCCCACCATGCAATTGGGGAAGGATGGGGACAGCAATTAGATAGGCAATGAATAGACTCTATTAAAATATTGTTTGAGTATTGAAATTCCCGGGAAAACGAGGATTTTGATCTTCCAGATGTCTACTTTCATATTTCATGTTTTAAGGATTTTCTTAAAGCTGAGGACACTGTTTCTCAACTAGGATGGGAATAGTGCTGGGGTTGGGTTGGGTGGGCTGTCACAGGGGTGTGAGAGGAGATACACCCCCTCTACCCCAATGGACATCTGACTAAAACTGGAGACATTCTGGTTTTCCAAACTAGTTGGATGAAAGTGCTCGTTGCATCTAGTGGGCAGAGGCCAAAGAGGTTGTCAAACATCCAGCAGTGCACAGAACAGCACCTTACAACAAAGGAGTTACCTGGCCCCAAATGTCAAAAATGCTGAGACTGAGAAACCCTGGTGTAAACCATAATGAGGAGTTTTCTTAAATCTCAAATGAAGGATTAATAAACTCATTACTGGGGCCAGCAGAAAGTGTTGTGGCTAAGGTGCTGAAATCCCACATAACTGACCACAATTCTAGTCCTGGACCAGTGGCTTGAAAATCACATGTGTGTGTGTGCTTACCCAAAATTCTGAAAGAAGAATGGAGGAGAAGGGATTGCAGTGTGGTTATCCTCCCTGGAGGACGATTTCTTACTTTCCATCTCTCTGTCTCTCACCAGCAAGCACATGTGCACTATAACAAAATAAACAAACAAACTCATTACCAAATCTAGGCAACAGCCATATTCTGAAAACAGAACGGAGGGTTGAAAATTCTACAATATGTCTGAGACTTTGGTTACTGGAACACATGAGCATTTTTAAAAGGAGGATGTATTTTAAAACAAAGAAAACTTGACAGCAGACTCATTGCTTTATGTTCCTGTCCATGGAAAAGATTTTGCCTTATGTTAACAGGTGGAACACATCAGGAGAGAAAAACTATGGTGAAGTATTTACGAAGATAAAGATGAGGTCAAAATGTCTCCAGAAGCCTGATGCCTCTGATGTGTTCCAGACAGAAAATACTTTTTTTCACATCCTTTCTCTTTTCTGCTCTGCAAAGTCACTCTTCCCTCCCAACCCAATTTTAACTATTCCTGGTGAAAAACAGATTTCACAATCTACAGAATAAATGAAAGCATAGCAGATTTGGGACTAGAGACAACGTATGTTGTCTTTAATCTAATGCCATGGACAACTGTTGCCAAAGAAAACTATTCTGTTCTTTTTCCAAAAGCCTTTTCTCCTGCATTTTTGGCTTCCTGAATTCTATATAACTCCTTTCAAGTATTTTGTTTTAGGAAAGAACAGGAATGAGAGCCTTAACCCATGACTGACTTGATCATTGTGCAACTCAGAATTGTTCTTAGCCTGTTTAATTTGGACACTCAGAAGAAACAGAATGGCCGTGTGTGCTCGAGTTGCACACAAAAAAGGAAAGCTGAGGAGCATCTTTGCATCTCGTCAGTGGGTATCGATCCCTCTTGACTAGGCAAGGAGAATGTCTGCTCTTTGTGAAAGAGCCAGGCGTCCTTGACTCAGTGAACATGGTGGCCTCTTCCTTCCTTCAGCTATAAGACCTCTGGAGCTAGGATTACCAGCCTGGCCAAGCAAAACAGTCTGATTTTACCTCCTCTTTTTCTTGTAAATTTTGCAACTCCAAACAAGTAAAGTTGTGTTCATATCGGAAGGAGACAAACACAAACACTTTAAATACCAAGTCACATTATTGCTTCTGAGTGTGCCTGTAAGAACATCAGTGTGAGATCCAGGTATCAAACTTCAGTGATTAATCAAGTAATTAAATGAAGTTTGGGAATTTTCTGCCAGAGGCTCTGGCGTATTCTACTGATTTGCAGATGGATTCAATTAAAAGGAAACAATGCCTACCATTTGGTGCTGGCTCAGATAAAGCATGAAATAAAAAGTTTTGGCAAAACCTTGCTTAGCATTGAAAATTAGAATTTTGCAAGTTCAAAATTAGTCTGAAATATTTTTTCCCCATATACAGAGCTATAACAGAATAACTTCAATTGTTGGTCAAAATGAATTTACTGCTTCTTAACAAATGAGTGTGAATTAACTATATGAAGGAATCATCAAAAAGTTCATGGATGGGCGCGTGTGCGTGCGTGCCCAAGATCCCGAGAGGAGAATGGAGGAGAAGGGATTGCGGCGTGACCATCCCCCCTGGGGGGTGATTTCTCGCTTTCTGTCTCTATGTCTCTCTCTGTTTGTCTGGCGAGCGCACGTGCCCTACAGTGAAAATCTCTCCAAAAGAAAAAAAAAAAGTTCATGGAGAATGAATATTATGAAAAAAAAAAACTATATGTGGATTTCAAAGTTCTTTTGTGCTAAAATAAACTCATTTGAATTTCTTCCATTTCTCCATCTGGTCAAGATTTGGGGCATTGCATGCATGAGTACCTGGCATGCTTTCTAAGCCAACAGGGGCCAGAATTCAAACTGTAGTCAGTCATGTGGGATCTGACTCCCTTAACCACTGAGCTATGGGCTAGCCCTTTCTTTGTATTAAATAGTATTGGTTAATAATTTCATAGAATATCCCTCAGTTTAGACTTTCATGTTTTTTTCCTCCTCATTATTAGATTGAGTTACAGATCTTGGGGGAAAACACTGCAGAGGTGAAGGTGAAGTGCCTTCATGACATTATGTCAGGGGATCAATCCACATGACATGTCACTGGTGGTACTACCTTGATCACTTGGCTAGAATGGTATCTGCCGGGCTTCTCCACCTTAAATGGACTATTTTCCCCTTTCTATACTCAATTGGTTAGAAGCAAGTCACTCAGAACAGCCCATACTTATGGGGAAGGGAATTATGCTCTACCTCGTAGGGAGGGCATAGATATGTACACTGGGAAGATTTTTTTCTTTCTCCTCTATTTATTCAATTATCTATCTAGAACAAGAAAAAGACACATTTTGATAGAAATACAGGAGAATCTTT